AACATCTCGTACTCGTCAGCCAGGGGATTGTTTACACCACTTGTAGGACTCTCGTCTTTAAAGGTAACATACGATTTCATCAGATTCTGGTTTTCGTAATAACTGAGGAGCTCTACCCGAGATTCGTTCCAAACTGCCACGCTACATTGAGAGGTGCCGAAATTGATTCCGACTGCAATTTCTGGAAAAGCTTCATCATCATATTCTAAGGGGTATTCTTGTTCATCCAGTCTCAAATCTTCCAAAGGAAGAGCACCCACTTCACAATAAAATACAGACGAGAACAACACCGTTGAGTTTAATTAAATAAATGTAAAGCTAAGCCATTCTAATTTTGTCTATCGAAAATCTGCACTTCACATAAATAAAGCAGAAAACACTCGAAAGAAGGAAAAATAAACACGATAATTGACACTGATAGATTGAATAAATGTTGACAATTGAGTTGTACAATCCAATGATCTCAATTGATTCAGAAAATATCTAACTAAATACGTAGTTGAAAATCTAACTTCGAAACATAAATAGGGGTTAAAAGATTAGAGCATTTGCTGAACAATCTTTGGTTCTTGAGTTTACCTAAACCTACTACCTCCCTATTATTTTTGTTTTCGTTCATCGCAGACCGTGGTTTTTGCATAAATTATCTTAATTATGTTATGCATGTATTAAAAAGGAACAGAATTACAACCATAGTCTTTTTTACCAGATTTCAACACCGATTTCAAAACGTCACCAATCAAACATAACCAAGAAAATTAGGGAGCTCTGATTAACATTGCATTCTTATCTTAATTTCAAAATTGCACAAACTTTCTTATAAAACCCAATTCTTACATTCATTTGACAAAAATAGAAGATTAAATAGGATACTGGTAAGTAGAATATATTTTCAGGGGAGAAATCCAAATATTATTCAGGATAAATATGAACTACTCAGAATCTGAACAAAAAGTTCTTAAATTGATGAATAGACTACATGTGAATTGCATAACATGAAAATGAATAACATAGAACCATTCAAGAATCAAGAAACAAAAAAATTTACGTCCAGATAATTTTAATAGCTCTTCATCACTGGGCATCGTACAGTGAAAAGAGGAAAAAAAGGATATGAAAAGTCAGATATATAGAACAAGCCAATTACGATTAAATGTTAAAAGTGGAAGAAAAATTAGTAACAATACACTTACTGTGGATTCTTGAAAGCAGAAATAACAGAACCCAGAAAAATTACTCGCAATGAGGTATCCTTACTGAGGAGAAAATTGTGAAAAGAATCTGAGAAAATTCACTTTATTTATGAACAACAGAGTGAGAGAGACGAGCGAAGGGAATCGTGAGAGAATTATTGAAGAAGAGTGAAGGGAATTGAATTGAATGGTGTGTTAATATTGATGGTAAGGATGAGCGCGGGAGGCACAGAATTTAGTTAAAATGGTTTTTTGTTCTGTTAAGTCTGTTTTAAAGTATGGGTAAAAAGGGCGAAAATTCACCGTACTGGTGAGCGATTACAGAAGAGAGATTGAACAATTAGAGGTGTAAAATTCTGAAATGCGAGCGTTTCCAGGAATGGCTGTCAAACTGCAGGCCAGTTGGGCCATTGCCACTCCCTAGCATTATACAAAAGGAGCTTCTACACCTCTTTTTCAAATAAAGTTCGACAAGACTAAATAAGAGAGACGTAGTACAATTTGTCGGTTGATACGAAATTTTATCTAGATTAGTCAGATTTGAACGTACATTGCACGTTATTTTGAAATACTCTATAAATGTTATAAAAGTAATATTTGATACCAATTTGTTGAGAGTATTTGATGGGTTTCAAACGAATTAAAGAAAATAAAATTAAGGATAAAAATTTAAGAGAAGTAAAATGTACCATCAAAACTTAATTTCTATGTTCCAAATTAGTTCTGTAAAAGTCATATTTGATATCAATTTGTTAAGAGTATTTGATGAGTCTCAAACGAGCAAAAGAAAGTAAAATTTAGAATAGAAATTTAAGAGAAGAAAATTGTATTCTCAAAATTTAACTTCTATGATTCAAAGTTTTTTTTTAATGATGAATTAGTAAAAATGAGCAACCTTTTTTATACTACATTTGGTAAATAAGAATTAATTGGTAATACATTAATTTAAACACTCACTAAAATTTCTGGATACATAAATAGAAATAAATTCATCTATAATAACTCTGGATTCATGTGGATCAAGATTCATCACGTCAAGATTCGTTGAGTCTAGATGAATGCGCATGCTAATTAATTAATAATTAATAACAAGAAATTCATGCATGACAAAAATTTTGTAGTATTTTATTACATATTGAAAAACGAAAAATAAGGTACTATTGAAATAATTGAATTGTAGTAAGGTTAAAATTGTCTAAAAAATGATTCTCACTTGATGTGATATATTCATACATGACAATGATTTTGTAATATTTATTACATATTGAAAAATGAAAAATAAGGTATTATTAAAATAATTAAATTATAGTAAGGTTAAAATCGTTCAAAAAATGATTCTCACTTGATGTTATAGATAATATATTATAGATGTATTTTGAACCTCGAGCGTTAGCCATGTTTAAGTATTGACATTTTAGAAAAATTTGTATAAACTATTATAACTGGAAGAAACAATTTTATAAAATTAGTAAACGAGTTCAAAAGTAGCTTTTAGATTTCAAAAACTTTTACAGACTTTTCAAAAATCTTGTTAGATGGACCCTTAATACATAGTATGCAACTACTTCAAAGAGGTTCTCCGTGCCGTTGTTGTGTTATCGGCACGTCTCATACAACCCAATTCGAACTATAACGAGGGTAAGGATCCCTATAGGTCAGACTCGACTAAGCATCCCATGTTTTAGAATTGTATTGGAGCTACTGATGGAACCTATGTGAAAGCTGTGCTACCGTGTCACGAGCGTGTGAATTTTATAGGCAGAAAAAGAGTACCGACGCAAAACGTGTTGGCCGCATGTGATTTTAATTTATGTTTCACGTTTGTGCTTGTTGGCACCACCAGGAATATGCACTACGCTCGAATACTAACTCGTGCTCTATACAGTGCAGAAATTCACTTTTCGCTACTAGCCCCGGGTAAGTATTATTTGGTTGACTCCGATTTTGCTCATCGATCGAGATATATGGCCCCATACAAATGTGTTCATCGACCGAGATATATGGCCCCATACAAATGATCAGATATATTATATCATTTTCAAGAGTTTCAAGACGATGGAATATGTCATCGTCGACGTTTCCGAAATGCTCACGAGAGATTTAACTGCAAACACGCTTCGTGCATTAACGTTATTGAACGTGCATTTGGTATGTGGAAGCAAAGATTGCAAAATCCTTGACCGTATGCCTAGTTATTCATTTCAAACACAAGTTGCAGTTGTCATCACAACGATGAGTATTCATAATTTATTACAACGTTCTGGATTTGTGGACAAGGCATTTATGAGAGTAGAGATAGATGATGGTGCATCCGAGGTGCAACTCCCTAACACTGAAGACGAAATGCATGCTGAAATGAATGTACCTTAAATGCAGCAAATTGAGTGGGACAGACTTCGCGATTATATGTACAACAACAATGATGATATAATTTTTAAGGAACGCAACATTTTGCACGTGTAGTGTTCTAAGCGTTCAAAACCATATTTTTTAGGGCTTGTTTGGTAGGAATTTTCATTTTCTACAGTAAATCAATTCTTATTTTCAACCACACATTCTTCAATAAAATAATATTTTCCATCACATCAGTAATTTTTTCTTCTTTTTCAACCACACATTTCCCATCATATCACTATTCAAAATCAATTCTTTCCCCAAAAAATTCCTACCAAACAAGCTGTTAATGTTAATAGATTCAAAAGCAAAAGAGGAGAGGAGGGAAAACATGTAAAAATGCACTAAATTCCTTTTCACCCAAAACATGTTCACTGTAGCTGGCCCTCTTTGATTTGATGTGAGAATGAATTTTTGGGGGAAAGAATGGGGATCAAACAGAGTGTAAGAATCTCTCTTTTGAAAACTACAAAAAATTCCAAGTTGAATTTTCTAATTACTAAGAATTGAAATTTCATCTTAAAATATCAACATTATTAAGAGGGGTAGTCAATTCCTTATATGTCTTTTTATTATTCTTATATTTATTCGATGTGAGATTTANCTTATATGTCTTTTTATTATTCTTGTATTTATTCGATGTGAGATTTATTACTTAAAATGTCCGTACAAGATGGTAGCTTGTATGAACACGTCAATCTTAGAATTCTCGTGCTCATTTGAGTTAAGATTTGAAGTTCCAGCATAAAATATCCACCTTATAAAAAGAAGTGGATCAGGTCATTAAACATCGTTTATTATTCAATGTGAAATTTATTTCTTAACACTACTATATAAATAGTATTATAAATTTTGATTTTGTAAGTTCTATAGTGTGTCTAATTATGATAATGGTTGTCAGAGAAATTACCAGTCGAATGAAATTATCCTCAAACAAAATACATACTATAAATTTTAGTTAATAATTTATTAGATTGATCAAATAGACAAGATAATAGTCAATTTGTTGAATATCGTGCTTCAAAAATATGATGATTATCTAGAAAATTATATAAATGTTGATTCAAAAAAGGTTGCTACTTCGACTAATATAGAAAATTCTATATTAAACGTTTTTAATATGAGTAGATATGAAAGATCATTTTATTACTGTTTTTGCCAGACTTTTAAAGAAGAAATGTCATCATTATTGATACTTTCGTGCGGTTAGCCTCTCATTTTCAACAAGAACAATTAGCCATAGTCCGACAACATGTAAAATAATTTAACAAAGTATATGTTATTTTCAATATTCCTTAAAGACGTGACATTGACATGAAAATGACATAAACACAAGGTCATGTTGGGAACAGTACTACAAAATGACACAAACAAAACCTCATGGGAGATATTTTTTTACAAAGGGCAATAGCCATGTTTTCAGTTCTCAGAAATCTCCTATTTTTCCTCTCCTTCTGCATATTCTCTCTTCTATCAGCTCAAAAAAACCACCCACTAGACTCTCTCACTCAATTTGAACTCATTCAAGTTCAAACAATAGTCAAAAAATCATATCCCTCCTCTCAACATAGTGTGTCCTTCCACTATGTAGGCTTAGATGAACCAGATAAATCACTAGTCCTCTCGTGGCAATCAAATCGTAATCAACATGATGGAAATCTGAGTCGTCGAGCAACTATTATAGCCCGTATTGATCGAAAAACCCATGAAATCATCATCGACTTATCGAGTAATTCGATTTTACTAGATAAAGTCTACAATGGACATGGCTACCCCATACTCAACTTTGAAGAGCAGACAGCAGCTAGTGAGTTAGCAATAGCGTACGCTCCATTTGTGGACTCGATCAAGAAACGAGGGCTTAAGGTAGAAGAAGTTGTCTGCTTGACTTTCACTATTGGATGGTATGGGGAGAAAAGGAGTAATAGGGTGGTTAGAGTTATGTGCTATTACTTAGATGGCACTGTTAACTTGTACATGAGACCTATAGAGGGAATTACAGTGACAGTTGATCTTGATCAAATGAAGATCATCGCGTATCGTGATCGGACAACGGTTCCGGTCCCAAAATCCGAAGGCACTGAATATAGAGAAGCAATGCAGAAGCCTCCACTTGATTCCAAGTTAAAAGGTATTACTGTGTCGCAACCAGATGGTCCAAGTTTCACTATTGATGGACATACACTAAGGTAAAAGCCAATAAACTTAATATATCCAGTACTATCCTGTCCTCATTGCTAAACAACTGAGTAAACAACCAGATTATGTCAAGTGAGGAAATAAATTCAATTTTCAGGACCACATTTTTCTAAGGTTGTCATAGTATTCATAGAACAACAGGGAAAGGGAACTTGAACTTTCTTGATTTCTAGTGGACAACCTAGAAATCGACATAAATCCTATAATTAGAAATCTTCACGTGTCCTTGTGCATACAAATAAATTTTCTTCCTATATTTGTGATCTAATATTGATTTGTACATGATAGACATTGATGGCTAACATTTTTTTATTAGGTGGGCTAATTGGGAGTTCCATCTAGCCTTTGACATGAGAGCTGGCCTAGTTATATCATTAGTATCAATCTATGATCCAGAGAAGGATGAAAATCGTCGTGTGATGTATAGAGGATTTATATCAGAACTATTTGTGCCATACATGGACCTAACCCAAGAATGGTACTATAGGACTTTCTTTGATGCAGGTGAATATGGATTTGGTCTATGTGCTGTTCCACTTGAACCATTAAGAGATTGCCCGGAAAATGCAGTATTTATGGATGGATACTTCTCTGGACAAGATGGAACACCGGGAAAGATATCGAATGTGTTCTGTATATTTGAACGATACTCAGGAGATATAATGTGGCGCCACACGGAAACTGGGATCTCAGGAAAAGTGGTTAGACCTTTGTTGTACAATTGTTTCATTTTTGAAGGTTTAGATTAAGACTGATTCGTAAACTCCTTTGTTATACAGATAAGGGAGGTCAGACCCGAGGTGAACCTGGTTGTAAGAATGGTATCCACTGTGGGGAACTATGACTACATCGTTGATTGGGAATTCAAGCAAACTGGCACAGTTAAAGTCACTGTGAGTAATCAGACACTAAAATAATCAGTCATCAGAAACCAACTTATTTGCTGTATTGCCACAAGTTTTACAGCATTTCCTGCTTGTTTTACACGCTCGACTATTTGTGTGGCACGCTACGCTGTATTTTTAGGGATTCATCATAATAAAAGAGCAGATATATTGTACTAAATTTAAGATCTTAATATGATAGTCGAATTGTATTTTCTAAGGTTGGACTGACTGGCCTGCTTGAAGTGAGGGGATCAGTATATACTCATAAGGATCAGATACAAGAGGAAGTTTACGGTACTATATTAGCAGAGAATACTATTGGAGTTCACCATGATCACTTCTTCGCGTTCAAACTCGATTTAGACGTCGATGGGATGCAAATTCATTCATCAAGAAAAAGCTGCTGACAATGCGTGATGACAGATCAAAGAGGAAGAGCTATTGGACCGTTATCAGTGAAACTGCCAAAACCGAGTCTGATGCAAGGATTCAACTTGGTTCGGGAGCGGCCGAGCTGTTAGTCATGAACCCGAACAAGAAGACTAAGTTAGGGAATTGTGTTGGCTACCGTTTGATCCCTCAATCAGAGGCACGTTCTCTGTTGATGGATGATGCTTATGAACAAATCCGGGGTGCATTTACAGAGTATAATGTGTGGATCACACCATATAACAAGTCTGAGAAATGGGCTGGAGGATTATATACAGATCAAAGCAGAGGAGATGACACTTTAGCTACATGGAGCCTAAGGTACTGCACTATATAACTAGTATAGTCGGTCATGTTTTGTTTAGAGTACACTATGACGAATAAGATTTTAACTTCTTGGGTCGAAAAGATTGGCGTTCACTAAATTTTTATGGACCGAATTACCAAATCATGAACAAACATTTAAAATCTCTTAAACCAACAATAAAAAGAAATTTCACTAGTGTGTTTAAGAATATTTTTCTTTCTCGATCATGTTTAACGTTGTTTAATCTAGTGGACCAATTATGTCTAACTAGGTTTAAACTGGACAATGCGTCCCAAATTTTATGATGCAGGAATAGGGAAATCGAGAACAGGGACATTGTTTTATGGTACACATTAGGGTTTCACCATGTTCCATATCAAGAAGATTTTCCTATTATGCCAACTGTAAGCAGTGGTTTTGAGCTAAGGCCATCCAATTTCTTCGAGCATAATCCTACGCTCAAAGTAAAACCTCCTAAATAAATAATTGTTCAGTCCCAACTCTTCAATGATAGCAGTGTAAGTTCGGAGGATCTACAACTGTTCGATCAAGAGTAATATATAAACAAAAAGTCGAGAATTGCACAACCTTTTGATTGTAGGATCAAGAGAATCCAAACTGTCAACGTTATTAGAGACGAGGATTGGACATATCAATAAATGTTATATTTTGATAGGTAATTCCTATTACCATGGTGTTGTGTTTTCGTTGTTCTATAATAAACTCTGATTATCTACTCTAATTGTATTAGAAATTATGGCGTTTGATTCAATTTGTTGAGAAAAAAAAATATATGGTATTAAGAGTGGACAATACAATATTAAACAATGGACAACACTTTATGGAAACAAAAAATTTAATTTAATTTAATTTAACTTACTTTTGAACTTAGTTAAACATGCTCTTGAGTTCGATTTTACATGGTGTGATTAATCCAATCTCGCAAAGACAATAATGATATTACCTATAAATTGTAGATATAAAATATCAGAATGTGTTCTCAATTGAGATTTCAATGAAGTTGAAAAGTCTATATAAATTGAGATGTGGTCGATAAAATTCAGGCTCTCCAACAACTAGTGGATTTATAAAGATTTCATAGTTAGAGGAATTCTAAAATATTTCAAAATCCATTAAAATCTCATCCGAGGGCACCGTCTCGAATTAAAAAATTCAAATTCAAAAATTTGATTTATCCATCCACAACAAAGAAAATCGAAAGTATCACTTGCAGGAAGAGTTTCTAATCTTCAAATTCTCGATTAAACTTTTATATTTATATAGTATTAGAAAATTTTTATTTTCTATTTTAAGCCTCCCTACACTTGTTAGCTTCAAATTTTGATTGCGAGTATATAATTTGCATGTAAAGAAAATAAATTCTAGACAATTCAATTTCTTGAAACTTATTTGTATGAAAATTATTAATTAAATGTGTTTGATTGATTTAGTTTTCAACATAGAAAATATTATACTTATCCATTTTTTATTAGTGGGTATATGATAGAGGAAAAGAAATAGTGAATTATCTGAAAAAATAAACTACCCCTCTCTAAAGAAAATGTTTTTATTATTTTTGAGAAAAATATTTTCAATTGAAAAAATTTGTCAATTAAACATCCCAAATGTAGAATTTTGAGTGAAATAATGACATTTTTCATGAAAAAATAAAGTCAATCAGACACACTCTTAATTTTGATAATGGTTGTAGATCTTTGGAATGAGAAATTACGACTC